GATACTCGGTTTGTTTTATTTGTGGTTTCGAGTATCCTTTGATACTCAGTTTTGTTTTACTTGTGGTTTCGAGTATCCTTTGATACTCAGTTTGTTTTATTTGTGGTTTCGAGTATCCTTTGATACTCAGTTTGTTTTACTTGTGGTTTCGAGTATCCTTTGATACTCAGTTATGTTTTACTTGTGGTTTCGAGTATCCTTTGATACTCAGTTTGTTTTATTTGTGGTTTCAAGTATCCTTTGATACTCAGTTTGTTTTACTTGTGGTTTCGAGTATCCTTTGATACTAAGTTTTGTTTTACTTGTGGTTTCGAGTATCCTTTGATACTCAGTTTGTTTTATGGTTCATTTAAAGATGATTTGGAAATCCGTCCATGCAGGACATAGACGAAGTTTGTATTTAAAGACTGCTGATTCCCTCAGAGGAATGGCAGACTTCGGCAGACAGAGTATTTCTAATATACTTGGTTGAACGGTTACCTCTTCAAGTCCCTATTCTTTATATCTTTCTATCGGAGCCTCCCTTAGCGCAGTACGCCCATAGGTTGTAGATCAACTTGTGCGCTACTCCTATTGTACCCGCAAGCGTGATCAGCACCCCGGTGCGAACACGTTACAAATACATTCAAAGTCAGGATCCACTATCTCCTACGTTCCAGAAGAATTTAAATCAATTCGTTAAGGGTAGTATTGCACAAGCTCAAACAGGAGCTCAGGCGTTTAAGGATCTTGAAGGAACACAAGCCGCAGAAAAAGCTCGCACAATTCGTCAAAACCAAAGCCGGAGATCAGTACAAAAGGGGGGGGTCCTATATGCTCACCAGGCCAGAGCAATCGTTCGTAAAAAGGAGGAGGACGATGTACAGAAGAAGGTTGAGCAGGCGGAACGACAGCTGGAACAAGCGAAAAGGGACGCAATCCGGAACCTTAAAAAGACCTGGAAGCCGATTTTTCAGGAGCTAAAGAGGTTTATCAGGCAGCAGAACCAAAATAGTCGAGTTGTGGGCAGGCGTCGTTGACCAATTGTATTTTAAAATTTCTTCTTGTGTAAAATCTGACGTTGAGCCGATTCTGACGTTGAGCTGTAGGGCACGTCGTAGACGTGCCCTCAATTGCGAGCAATTGAGGGTTGTGGCAGAGCCACAACCTTGGCACGGTTACTGCGACTTCCAGCACCAAACCATCCAAACCCCGGAGAATATACTGGGCGCGCTTCTCAAGCAAATTATACGGGGTTTAGGAGTGATTCCCGGAGAAATCGACGATGCATTCCAGAAAGCAAAAAGTCAGGTTGGCGGTCCAGGTCTCCTGGTCTCCGAGCTCCTTCCACTCTTACAGGCTGCAATTGCTCCACTGGAGAGGGCTTTTATCTGCATTGATGCCTTGGACGAATGCCTCGGGAAGCATCTGCCTGAACTTCTACCTTCATTGTATACCATTTCTCAGTGGTCACCTAAAATACGCATGTTTATTACTGGACAGCCCCATATCCACCGCGAGATTGAGAAACATTTTCCAGTTGGTGTACAGCTCATCGAGATGAAGCCGAAGATTGAAGATATTATGAAATACCTGCAGACGATGTTAGAAAAAGACCCGGAACCTGAGGCAATGAATGCCGATCTTGAGGCTGTAATCATGAAACAAGTTTCGGAAACCATCTCGGAGGTGTATGTAGTGGCACTTCTTATGCCTGAATCAAGAAAAATCACTGACTATTGGACCTAGATTGCTACTGGTGTCACTAAAAATCACAGCGATACTGGCGGAGGCGACAATCTACGATCGGCGAGAGCAGCTCAAGAGAACGACCAATGGACTCGGTTTAGACGATGCCTATCGTGCGGCCCTGGATAGAATGAAGGCCCAAAGAGGAGCCAAGTCGAGATTCGGAATGGCCGCCGTAATGTGGATCTCTCGATCGGAGCGACCAATGACTGCGGATGCGTTATGTCACGCCCTACGCGTGCGAATAGGGTCCACCGACCTGAACGCCGAATGTGTTCCCTCCATAGAAACATTGTTGGCCTCCTGCCTTGGACTTATTACCATCGATGGCACAGGATCCACGGTACGCCTGGTGCACTTCACACTTCAAGAATACCTCGGCAGCTGCCCGGGAATATTCCGGAACCCGTATGCCACGATGGCCGAGGTTTGCTTGACATACCTTAGCTATAATCGTATTAATCAACCTTCGGCTACCCTTGGCTCTACTCTACCAACGACCCCATTCCTTGAATACCCTTCCACATACTGGGGACCCTATGCAAGAAACGAAACGAGAGAAGGCGTCAAATTGCTGGCACTTCGAGTTCTAGCTAATTTTGATGGGCATGTATCGGCGGGACTACGGCTACCCCAGCCTATATATTGGCTTTGTCGAAGACTTGGGATCCGAGTTCCAGGATTTACTGGCCTTCACTGTCTTGCTTATCATGGTATCGATAAGATTGCCACCGGTCTATTGCAGACGCACGATGGTGTCCCCAGAAAGGCCGATTCCTTGGCCTTTACACCATTGACGTGGGCCGCTCAAAACGGACACGAAGGCATGGTAAAGCTATTACTCAAAGAGAAAAATATCAATTTAGAAGCTCAGGTCTTCGAATGGGGACGAACAGCGCTCTCTTGGGCCACCGGTGCTGGGTATGAGAGAATAGCAAAGGTCCTGTTAGATCAGGGAGAGATCCATGCCGAATCCCAAGACTGGAGAGGAAGAACACCCCTGTCACACGCTGCGGCGTCGCCAACAGTGGAAGTTGTCATGCTGTTTCTGGAGCGGGAAGGGGTCAATGCCGAACTGCCCGACAATGATGGTAGAACACCCCTCTCCCACGCTGGCGAAGAGGGAAGTCCAGAAGTCGTGAAGTTGTTTCTGGATCGGAAAGAGGTCGACGCCGAATTACAGAATAATACGGGTAGGACACCCCTCTCCCATGCTGCCGAAGAGGGAGGTGCACAAGTCGTGAAGCTGTTTCTGGAGCTGGAGGAGGTCAACGCCGAATTGCAGGATAATAGGGGTAGAACACCCCTCTCCTACGCTGCCGAAAGGGGAACGGTCCACACCCTGAGGCTATTTCTAGAACGGGAAGAGGTCAACGCTGAATTGCCGGACCATGGGGGTAGATCACCCCTCTCATATGCCACCCAGAGTGGACGAGTCCAAGCCGTGCAGTTGTTTCTGGCACGCGAGGAGGTAAACGTTGAATCGCAAGACAGCCAGGGAAGAACACCACTCTTCTACGCTCTCAAATATGGATCGAAGGAGATAGGGAAGATTCTCTTGGAACTTGGAGAGGTCGACCCCCGATCTTGGGTCCTGAATAGCGATGAGGAAGTTACCCCACCTCTTCGGCAATGCCTGGATACAATGCCCATTGCTCGTATTCATGATGCTCGGCCTGTCAATCCTTCCGCTGCTCATGGTGGTCAAATGGCGGAATTATTAGTGCAACCTCCTTTGCAACTACAAGATACAAGCACAAGTCCGCCCTCAAAAAGCACACAGCATTCCTCAGCCGCCACTCCCCTATGACACAATTCCTGCAAAAATCCTGCAACGCACACCCAGGACTCAAGACCCGACACTCCCACCCCACCGCTCGCCTATCTTTTTCTCCCATCCGTTGTTGCCGTTGATGCCTCGAGCCTTTAGCACAACCACTAGGGCGGCGTTTTCCCAGCTTTTCGAAGACAAACCTTTGGCACCTATGACATCAAAAAGGACGAAGCCTTCTTAGCCTCCCCCTTGCTGCCGTTCTGACCCCTTGGAGGCTCGTACTACACCTCCGTAGTGCAAGTCGAAACACCCCTTTTACCAATGTCGGGGATGATCTATTCGCAACTCGATTTGCGCAGTCTTGTTTTATGCAACGTTCGGCAGCTATACTATCTCCACTCCTCGTGCCGGCTGTGCTTGTGAGCGCCACCAGGAAAGCTCTATATATTATACTATAAAAATGTTTTGATATCAATCATTTTCCTCTCACCACCGAGTTCTTGCCTACTAATTGTGTTTATTCTCCGTTGTTTCCCTAGCTAGTTTTTATGGAATCACCCAAGACTATACGTTTCCTGTTTTCCCCCCTTCTCCTCCATCCCCCTTTCCCCTGGCGGGGGGCGCCAGCTTGGCTTATCTTCCTTTGTCTTTTCGTTCTCCCTTCTCTCTTTGCTGCTGTCATTCAATTCATGTACGAGATCTTTCTATTATATCACACCAGTGCTGAGAATTGCCACATTGCCGACCAGTTGTATCCCTCACAAACTTCTAGGCTCGAGGTAAATGCAATAGTACCGGCGAACAAAGGTGCCATACGCCCCTGAAAGACCGGTGACAGCCGGAGGCTGAGAGAAAGTGGCTCAGCATGTCTCACAGCTCACAATCTTGCCCTCCCTCCTACGGATCACCGCTCTACCGGGAAGTTCAGACGACATACAGTACCTGTATTCCTCTCACCGCCGCCCTAATTTCGGGTTGCTTTTACGAGTGCAACGGTAAGTCCAACCGCTAACAATGGGATCGAGAAGACTACCGGGAAACTTGAACGGTGCGGGACCCAAAAATCTATTCCATTGGTCTTACCATGCAATTCTGGGTGGTGGTGGTGGTGGTTTTTATCATTAGCCACTACCACTTAAACCGGGACTGTACTCAACACCCGTATCAGTCGGGCCACCGGTTCCCACAGTAAGGTTACCAACCTCCACTAATCATCGCGGATGGCTGTAGAGATCTTTCTAGAACCATCGGTGATATGGGGGGGCTGTCGGGAGGGGTGGATTAAGGTAATAGAATGCTCTAGTTGTCTGTTTTTGTTCCAAAGTTGCTTGCGGGGAGGTAAGCATCTCCTCCATGCTTGGATTTTAGGTTTCCTACTATACCCAACTCTATTGTAGCCTACCTCCTCCCCAGTTAGTCGGCGTCTTGATCCGCACTGGATAGGGAATTATTTCCTGCACCTTCCATCACTATCAGAGAGATGGCGACGGAGATCCTTTTAACACCATGAAGCGTACCCCTTATCATAGAATATCACCCGATTTCATCAAGATAGTAAATTCATGAGGCATTTAGGTGTATACAAGTATCGCGTCAGGCGCCTTGCATACCAAGATTACCCCTCCGCGAATATTTCGGCACTCGGATCTGGGAACGGCAAAAAGAATTGAAAATATTTAGTTTGACGCAGCATGTATGTCCTATCACGGGGAAACATTCTTCACGTAGCCAAGGGAAAACCCCTCCACTGGAGGTAGAGCGCGTATACATATTTCTCTCGCTAAACCTGCAGTATGGTTCAACGTAGGAACACGGAAAGTGCTGCCTAAGGCACAACCGTCACGTTCGGCATGGATCCCGTGGTAGACAAAAGGTCAAAGCGAAAGCAAGAACAAATCAATTGATTCTCCTCCCCCTAAAAAAAAAAACTAGTACGGTCCACATGCCACTCTCCAAGATGGATTGGTATTTTCCTTCAGAAAACTCTCTTGAGTTGGTCCCATTTCGGACTACCGAAATGAGCTTCTTATGTCGCCCACTTGGGCATAAAGTCCTGCCGCGTGGCTTGACAATAGTGCTTACTCGTCACCCTGGCGGGTCTTGTTTGTTCCGGGTCGGGCAACAGCCTTAAGAATGACCTCAATGGCAGCGTCTTTGTTTTTTGTGTGTTTGAGGTTGGAGCCCGCTCTGACCTTAAATATCGAATGCGAAAAAGCGGGGGGTTGCGAAGGAGCTTGCACAAGTATCATATGGCTGTTCTAGGCTTTCGCTCGGGATTATACGAGGCCGTGGTCCGGAGGTGCCGGGAGGTAAGAGATATTCTACGTCTCAATATTCTTGGAGAATGGAAGGAAAAATCAAACCCCTTTTCCTATCTAGGCGTCACCACACATCTCTCTCTTTTTTGCGTTTCCACCCCAAGAGATTAGGTGATCATACCTTGGGGCCCCGATGTTAGTTGTTTCGCCTTAACTTCTCTCACCTTACACGACCTCCACTTGCGCCAAGCATAAGAGTGATATATCATGATTCTAGCAAATTTATGCAGAGTATCATACATGGAAGAAAGAAAAAAGCACCCCTGTAGTATCATACAACCCCCCGCCAGCAAAACGCATTGTTTTACCTTCTAGCCTCTATTAATGATAAGAAACATAACCGCCCACATGCTGTTGATGGTGGGGACGAAGGGACGGTGAAGCTGTTTCTGGGACAAGGGGGGTGGACGCTGAGTTACGAGACAGTGTTGGACGGACACTCCTATCTTATGCTGCCGCGCGGGAAAATCTTGGAAATCATGAATCTACTTATGGAAAATGAAGTGATTAACCCCGAATTGCGGGATTCCGGTGGCCGAACGCCACTCCCATGAGGCCTTGTGGGAAAGTGTGGGAGTGGTAAAGTTCTTCCCGAAACGGTAGTTGGTCAATACTAAATCGCGAGACGATCATGGAAGGACACCACTCTCAGATACAGCCCAGAGTGGAAATGGAGGAGTGATGGAGCTGTTACTGGAACTGGAAGGGGTCGACACCGAATCACGTGATCATTGTGGAAGGACACCTCTCATACGCCGTCTGATGGCAGAGTGAGGAAATCGCGAAGCTATTGCTGGATCGGGGTGGCGTCAACGCGGAATCACGAGACAGGGATGGGGGAGCCCCTCTCTCCTAACCTGCAGAGTGGAGGAGAATGGAAAACCGGGAGGATGTTTCAGTAACTGGAAGAGGTCAATGCTGAATTGAAAAACAATTGCAGCAGAACGCCACTCTCCTAAACTGCCGAGTGGGGAAGGGTGGGAGTTGTGGAGCGGGAAGAGGTCAATGCCGAATTGCAAGACAATGAGGGTATGACACCCCCCTTGTACCCTCTCAGAGGTCGATCGGAGGAGATACAGAAGACGCTTTCGGAACTACTTGGGGTCAACCGTCAATCGGAGGCTCTCCTTGAGGATGAAAAAGTTGGCCAACACCCCCCGGAACACCCGGAGACCATGCCCATTACCCAGCATCACAAGGCCCGAACAGCAAATCCCTATAAAGGCAATGATGAGTGAGAGTCTAGATCACTATTGCAAAGCACTCCCCAGCCACTACTCGTAGATACCAATACAAACTCATCCCATGAGTGCACACGATATTCATCTTTGGTCCCTCCTTTAATGGGTAACCTCTGCCCAGGCCCCAGAACAACCGTCCAAGGCCCCAAAATTAGCCCTCTCACCTCACCCCTAGGACAACCTATCCTGCCCTCTGTTGTGCCAGTTGCATGTCTTGAACCCTTACCCCAGCCACTACGGCGGCGCTTTTCTAGGGCTTTCAAGGACAAACCTTTGGTACCTATGACGTCAATAAGGAAGAAGCCTTTCTAGTCTCACCCTCGGCCTCGTCGCCATTGCGACCGCTTAGGGGTTCTGTTGGGGTTTGTGCAATACAAGTTCGGTTGATCAAGAGGATGATGAGAGCTGTATTGTGAGAAGAAGCAAGCGACAAAAAAACAGAAGGCTCCTTTTTTCAATACACCCCATCCACTGGATCTGGCCAACACCACGCAGTGGACAAAATCCAATTACGCAATCCAATCCATGATGTCATCCCCACCCCTCGTACCCTCGTTCCGGTACCAGATGCCTTTGACCATATTGAGCAACTTCTAACAGCTTCTTACTAACGTATTTTACCCAGTAATGGGTCACCCCCCAGTAATGGGTCACCTTATAAAATTTTGGTACTTAGATAAAAAGTAAGATTTCACAACCACCATTTAAGCCAGGCTTATAAAAGTTATCAAGACTATAGAATAAAAGTATGCAATGATTATCAGAAAAAAGCAGAACTTTTAGAAAAGAAATGGCTATACAATCCAGCAGAGTGATATTTCATGAGAGAATTCTAGTTCTCTGTTGAGGCTGAGGGTCCTGCTCCTGCCCTTATCGAATAATTGATTGAACACCTGGTAGATCGGTAGGGACGGCTGCTGCTAGTACTGGAAGTTACAGATTTTGATTTCGGTAACTATTGATTGTGAGCAAAGGTTTTAAAAAT